TCGTTTGGTGCGGTAGCTGGTCTTTCTTTCTATCATTTTGTTTCTCTTCCGAGTAGTTTTTGTACCCTATTTTTTTCTGTTTCTTCGTGGGGTCGTGTATGCCGGGTTTTGAGACCACGGGCTCCCAATCTTTCTTTTTTAGAGCTAATGTGAGAAACAACAACAAACAACAACAACAACAACAGTGCCGGGCCGCACTTAAGAACCTCCTATATTGGGCGAGGCTCAGTTCTTATTGGCTGCCCCAACCCGAGCACCAGTTCTCATTTGTCAAGTTCTTATTTCGTCGTCCATTCTTCTCCTCCTGCAGAAAGGGGCGTTCTTGTTCTTGCAGTATTTTAACATCATTTATTTGCTATATTGTCGGCTGTCAACCATGAGCAACACTAGTACTGCTGTCGATACAAGAAGATACCAAGGCATGGAGCAGCAACTGTCAACCTTGTTGGTCCAGAAGGGTGACGTTGGTCCTGCGTACCCTTCCTGATCTACTAGTCTAATGCTCTCAAGCAAAACCCAGGAGCCTACAGCCGTATCCGAATCATCTCCGCTGTACTTGTCTAAGGGCAACTTCATCTTACGCGTACTCTGGTCTAGCTCCAGCTAGCTGCACACAGTAGTCGTACAGGTGGCGAATGTCCTTCTGAGATTGTTGAGTGATCAGCCCTCTAAACCACCCCATGCCCAGCCTACTAACGAGCACTCCACCCCGCAAAAGCAATCTGTCAAGAGCAACGGGTTTAGCTTCTTGAATACGAAAGCCTGCCGGGATTTCCATTCCCTGTATCTCATCCTCCGGGTCTTGTGGGTCCATGCTGTCGTCGTCGTCCAGAAGAGCTAGCTCATCGGTCTGGGGTTGAGAGATGTCTGCGAACGAGGCAACGGGAAACACAAGAAGTCAGGGTGTCACGTCGCCAAACTCAACCTGAACTTATCATAATTTGAGTGTAGCCGTGCGCGGAAACAAGCTAACGTCAACATGAAGGATATCGTCATCAACAAAAAGAAGGTGAATAGTTAGTTGTGTGCAAAATAAACTTACCGCCGTCGTCTTCATCGCTGGAGTCAACGCCCTCCATGAGCGTCTCACGTCCTCCATCGCCCTCCTCCGCCCGCCCCTCAGGCTCATCGTTGCCGTTCTCCGAACCTTG